AATAAGTTTAGCTGAATATTTGTGACCATTTGAATTGGTTCACTAGATTGAAACTATTGTTTAAAATCAGCTCAGCAGAATTAATTTGACTATTTTAATTGATTCGGTAAAATAAATCTTACATTTTATGTCATAGAACACACGGTATATGACTTTTGTGTTTACTTGAATGAATCAGATTCTTTCAATTGTTTCTTTCTTAAGTCAATTCACTGGAATGAATCTGATTGGAATGATTTACTAAAGTAAATCTCCTGGTTTATATCAGTTTACTAGAATGAATCCAAGTATTACAATCAGTTTACTATAAGATAAATCTACTAATTTAATTAACATTAATAGAATGAGGATTATTATTTGAATCAATTCAATAATATATTCAACAAGGTGACAACACCAAAGCTCCAGAAATGCAAATTTGTTAAATTAAAAAAACTAACACAAAATGTGTAAAGTTTCAAGCACCCTGGCTCTTCATCAGACAGTATTCATCACAGCATGTTGCTCTTTTTATACACTTCTGGATCACATGATCTCATACATTGTCTCACGAAAAAAAAAAAAAAGAAAAAGAAACATTGGTAAGTTACATATTCAAAATGAACATACAAAAGCAATTCAAATAATGCATCACAAATAAAGAAAAACATAACAGAATATAACACAATAACGCAACAAAATATGGCCAAAAACTTTTACCCAAACAACTTATTAAACATTAAAAAAATGGACGAATATCTAACTCATTTAAACCTCTAGGAGACAATGTATCTAAAGTAAAAATCCAAAAGGCTTCTCACTGTAATGGGAATTTTTCAAGATCCCTGTGCCTCAAATTTGAAACTTTTTTGTATGGGGATGTGTAAAAGTTGAGGTTTTGTATGTGAAGTCGCATTGTTGACAATTCCCATATTTAAAATTCCCATGTGAAATAAATGCGGAGCAGGTTTCAGATCAGCTCTTACCAACATAATACAGATATTAGATGTTCTTTTGTGTACTAGACGAGGTGATTTCTCAAAACATTCTTTGAGGGTAGGATTGCTTGCAATAATATGCCAATGTTTTAATAGCAACTTATTCATGTTTTTAGTCTCAGTGAAATCAGTAAATCTGATTAATGTCTGCCTGAGTTAATAGAGCAGTTCCAACATTAACAAAAAATAAATAAATAAAGGTTGGGTGTCCGGCAATTCCTTCATGTTGCCCCAACACATATTATTTAAGATAACTTAATTGTTTTTACAAACTTAAGTAGATTCAACTTAAAACAATTAAGTTATCTCAGAAAAAAAAACATAAGAATTGTTTACACTCATTTTAAATAAGTGAACAAGTAGCTTTTTTAAAAAATATTTTTTTTTTATTTTTTTATACTAAGAAAGCAGCTTTATTAATAGAGTTTAGAAGAGATTTTATCAAGCTACTTTCTAACACTGATGGGTGACCTGTGACATTCAGTATATGCTATGTTTTATTTTCCTTTACCTTACGGAATTAATGTGTGTGCTGGGAGTGCTGTAAGTACAGGTATAAGGCATGAGTGTGTGTTATTAAATGTGTAGGTGGACAATGGAACATAAGCTGCATTAGTGAGTGCTGATTACACTGAAGAGCTTTACGAATGTGTCTCCTGCTGTCTCACGTTTCTGAGGTCGCTTATATTTGTGTGTCACAAAGTCCTCTGAGAGCTCCCTGTGTTTATATTTTAGTTTCAAAACATCTCGTCTGGCGTAGGCAATAAGCGAATCTAATTAAAGCAATATGAGCGGGCAACTAAATTATTATTGGGACTCGTTCATGAAACATGAGCGCAGAAAATGTCTGTTCATAAATAATTCTTAGTATCTTTATGGTTTGCAAAATGCAGATTCGTGGCCAGTATAAGAAATATTTATGTCCAGCAAATCTCCCAAATCCTTTGGTTAGATGCTAGGATGGTAGAAAGTTAATTTGCTCACTGACTCATCATACAAATGTCTTAACGCTCAATATGTCTGAAAAAAAAAAAAACTGTCTTCACCTCTTGGCAATGTCAGTCATCAACTTGGCAATGAAGCATTTTGTTCGTTGGACTTTGTTTGGAAACAAGAGGAAGGATTGGAGCGCTAACGGGCAGTGAATCATCTGAGTAGCGGGTGGAGACGGAGAGAAAGAGGGAAATGTTCTGGACAGATCTGTTGATTTAGATGAGGCCTGGATGACTGAGCTGCAGGCCAGTGTGAATCACCTCTGAATTGTGCTATTCTTTTCGTTTTATTAACTCTGTGTCCTCTGGAGCTTTCCACGACATCTGAAAACAGTCCTGTTGAGTTAGTGTTTAACTCCAGTTTTTAAGGAAGTCATGTCTCAAGAGTTCGGTTGAAGAGATGTAAACAAAGTCAAAACAAATGAAAGAGGCTTTGGGGATGTTCTTTGTATTTATTTGATCTTTATTGGTCTTTTTCTTTATTATTAATCTTTTTTTTGTTAATTTATTTCGTATTCTTTGTTTCAGTGATTTATGATTCTTCATTGGTTTCATGGTTCATTGATTCAGTGAATCTAGATTGATGTTGCTTGTTGATAGTTTAAATAAATGAATGAATAGTCAAGATGATGAACTAATTAAAGCATGAATAAACAAACAAATGAAAAAATCAATGAATAAACGAAATTAACAAATGAATGAACTACTGTATTACAAAAATTAAAGCAGGACAATCTAGTGTTTTTATTACTGGTTTGTGAAGCAGTTGATTCATTTGCATGTTTATTGACTCATTCCTTTTTTTCCTAAATTGTTTCGTTAGTTTGTTTGGTTATTGTTATATAATGATTTGTTTAATTGTTTTTATCTGTCCATTCATTTGATCATGAAAAATTTTCTTCAATCGTTTTTTCCTTCAATGTTTTTTTTTCGTTTGATCACTTGTTCGTTTGTTTGATTCATTTGCGTGTTTATTAACTTATTCCTTTTTTTTTCTTAAATTGTTTTGTTAATTTGTTTGGTTATATAATTATCTGTTTAATTGTTCTATTTATTTAATCTTTTCATTCATTCATTCGTTCGATTAATTTGCATGTTTATTGATTCATTCCTTGTTTTCTTAAACTGTTTTGTTAATTTGTTTGGTTGTTATATAATGATCTGTTTATTTGTTCTATTTTTATCTGTTCGTTCATTCGTTCGTTCAATTAATTTGCATGTTCATTGACTCATTCCCTGTTTTCTTAAATTGTTTTGTTAATTTGTTTTTGGTCATTGTTATATAATGGTTTGTTTAATTGTTCTATTTGTATCTGTTTGTTCATTGTTCGTTAAATTTTTAGGTTGTATTTATTTATTTATTTATTTTTTGGTTAATCAATTTAGAATTTCCTTTAATTAGCTCATTTACTCTTTAGTAAATTAAATAGCTTCAATATTATGCACCCGCACAAATGCTCCCAAATATGTTCTGTGGGCGCAGAATACAATTCCGGGCACATATGCAACCAAAATGGTCTTAATATTGATCCCTCTACATGATTTACACCTTTTCAAAACCATCCCACACATTTGGACAGCCATTTTCAGATCTCTCCAGAGATGTTCAATAGGATTTAGATCTGGGCTCTGGCTGGGCCACTCAAGGTCATTCACCGAGTTGTTGTGCAGCCACTCCATTGATATTTTGGCGATGTGCTTTTGGTCATTGTCCTGCTGGAAGATGAACCGTCGCCCCAGTCTAAGGTCAAGAGCACTCTGAAGCAGGTTTTCATTCAGGATGTCTCTGTACATTGCTGCATTCATCTTTCCCTCTGTGCTGGCCAGTCTTCCAATTCCTGCTGCAACAAAAAAAAACGTCCCCACAGCATGACACTGCCACCAGCAGGCTTCACTGTAGGGATGGTATTAGCCTGGTCATGAACGGTGCCTGGTTTTCTCCAAATGTAATGCCTGACATTCACTCCAAAGTGTTCAATTTCAGTCATTTTTCAGTCATTCAGAATTTTGTTTCTTATGATCTAAGAGTCCTTTAGATGCCTTTTGGCAAATTCCAGTGGCTTCCGCCTGGCCACTCTACCATACAGGTCTGAATAGTGGATTGCTGCACAGATAGTTCTACTTCTGTAAGGTTCTCCTCTCTCCAGAGAAAAATGCTGAAGCTCAGACAGAGTGACCATCGGGTTATTGATGACCTCCCTAGGCCCTTCTCCCTCGATCACTTAGCTTTGATAGCCGGCCAGCTCTAGGAGGAGGCCTTATGGTTCCAAACATCTTCCACTTACGGATGATGGAGTGGAATTTATTTATTCAGAGCAGCAGTAACATAAAATGCGGAAAAGTGAATCGCTATGAATACTTTCCGGATGCACTGTAAGTGTCACCTTCAGTGCTGTGTATGATTCTCAAGGGCTCTTGTTCTCCCTCGTTGTTACCGAATATGATCAAGGAATGTGCACATCATCATCATTATGTACAGTACAGATGTTTGAGATTGATGTATTGTATAGATAATCTACTGTAGATCAGATCACATCCTTGTGTTTGTGCGTGAGTAGCATATAGGATACTGGGGTGATTCCATTTCCTCTGACTTTCCTCTGTGTGTTAGATGAGTCCTGGTGTGTGTATATTTGTGTGTGTGTGTGTTTGTAGCCGCAGGCCACGGCCCCTGCTCGCTGTGACATTGATACACTGCGTTGAAGCCGAGTGCTGTGCTGCTCTACTGGGCGACAGTGGGTTTGAGACACAGGCACATATGAGAAATGACCTTCTATGAGCAGGGAAAATGGAGACGGGTGCAGGACTCAATCACTGGTGCAGAAATGATGCATGTTAACAGAGCATCTCTACTGACACGCTCTGGCCCCTACAGCGATTTAGGAACTCCCCGATGTACACACACACACACACATACATGCACACAGACTAGATAGACTCTCTGCCTGTTTTCCTAGATAAACGTAATTTGCAAACAGTGATCATTCAGTGATGTCTTTCTATGCCCTCCCCTTCTCTGTCTCTCCTTTAGATTTGGAAAGAAAAAGGAAGAGAAGAGCAAGCCAGAGACAAAAGTGAATGCGTTGAAGCAGACGACAGAGATTCTGAGCGAAGAGGAGTTGGAAAGGATGAAGGAAGAGAGAGAAAGGTGAGACTGGTTTCTTTACACTGTCACAATTTAAAAGAGTGGATCCCTACAAAAAATATTGATAACATAAAAGTTAAACACTGGACATTAGTACCCCTATATGTCATAGAAATATCTGTCATCATGCAAATCACACAGCAAACTTGATAAATATATGTTTATTTATTTATACCAAATCAATGCTTTACTCAGCAAATATGCATTAAGTTGGCCATAAGTAACAGTTAAAATATTCATTAAGTATTTGTTAATTAATTAATTAATTTATTTATTTGTTTCATTATTTATTTATTTATTTATTCGTTTCATTATTTATTCATTCATTCATTCATTCATTAATTCATTCATTCATTCATTCATTCATTTCTTGTTCATCAAAGAATTCAGGGGAATTCCAATTCTAAGTTCCACCAAAAAGAGAAAGTTATGGTAAACGATATAATTATTAAATTTAATGAGTTTATTGAATAATTAAATAAAAATTTAAATTATATATATATATATATATATATGTGTGTGTGTGTGTGTGTGTGTGTGTGTGTGTGTTTATATCAAATAAATGCTTTACTCATCAAAGATGCATTAAGTTGGCCATGAGTAACAGTTAAAATTTCATTTTTTTTTTTGGCTCAGTCGCTTTATTAATCTAATGCCGCCACAGCGGAATGAACTGTTAACTTATCCAGCATGTTTTATGCATTGGATGCCCTTCCTGCTACAACTTATCCCTAGGAAAAACTTATATATTTCCATTCACACACATACACTACGGACAATTTTAGCTTACCCAATTCACCTATAGCGCATGTCTTTAGACTTGTGGGGGAAAACGGAGCACCCGGAGGAAACCCATGCAAACACGGGAAGAACTTGCAAACTCCACACAGACATACAAACTGACCCAGCTGAGGCTTTAACCAGGGACCTTCTTGCTGTGAGGCGGGAGCGATACCCACTGCGCCACCGTGTAGCAGTTAAAATATTACATAAAATATTAAAACAGTTAAAAGAGGTTTGTTTGTTTATCTATTTAGTTGTTTGTTTATTCGTATATTTCATGTTTATGTTTATCAAAGAATACATGGGAAATTCCAATTTCAAGTTCCACCAAAAAAAGACAGTTGTGGAAAGCATTTTAATTATTGAAATAAATGAATGACTGCATTAATTAATTATAATAAAATGTATATATTTTTTTCAGACAGAATATTAAAAAAGTCTGATTTCAGCATTATATACTAGATAGACAGACAGACAGACAGACAGACAGACAGACAGACAGACAGACAGACAGACAGACAGACAGACAGACAGACAGACAGACAGACAGACAGATAGATAGATAGATAGATAGATAGATAGATAGATAGATAGATAGATAGATAGATAGATAGATAGATAGATAGATAGATAGATAGATAGATAGATAGATAGATAGATAGATAGATAGATAGATAGATAGATAGATAGATGCAGAAACTAACAAGTTAACATAATTATTTCATGTTGCCTCAACACGATTGTGTGGAACCCAGCATTTTTTTTACAGTGTAACTGTATACTATAAATATTTAGCTATGATTAAGGTAAAGCATAAAATGTCATCTATTGACTAGAAAATAGTCCCTGTACATTTGAGAAGAAAAGGAAAACTTTTCATGCACTGTGCAGGATCACAGGTTTTTATTTGTGGTTCAAACTTTGAACATGGCTAAAACAATCAGAATCTATGGCCACAACTATGCGTTGCTGTAATGCTACATCTAAAACAGTGGGGTTTGTCACATTGCAGTTTTATAGGCCTAGATCCCAGGAGCTAGCACAATGAAACAGTGGCAGGTAATATCCTCCGGGAGCAAAATGGCTTCAGGAGGAACCAAGGCTCAAAGGAGAATGAATACTCCCCTGTAAACATGCATAGTGTACGTCATCTAGACATCTGAGAAAGAGCACATCATCGTCAGCACAGCACAAATGAGCTTTGTGTTTGTGTACAAACATCTAAAAAATACTTGAATAAGAGCTGATTCTCATATATGCGTAAATAAAAACATCTGCTGGATGTCATTCTGGTATTATATAATGATTTAGCAGTCAGCTACTGCAACAATACCTTTGTTATGCGACAAGTTACTTTGTACTTAGTTTAGTTTGAAGAACTGATGCTATCCATGTATTAATCCACTAAGGTGATTGGAGTAATAATTTCAAATTCAAATATTCAAAACTACATACGATAAAAAAGCTATTTAAAGTTATAAAATTTTTTTTTATAAATATTTGACTATTAATTATTCTTATTATTATTATTACTATTATTATTATTATTATTATTATTATTATTATTATTATTATTATTATGTATTTATTTATTTATTTATTTATTTATTTATTTATTTATTTATTTATTTATTTATTTTTTACATTTAATAAATGCAGCCTTGATAAACAGAATAACAATAAAAAAAATAATAAAAAAATACAACTGACCCCAAGTAGTGGCGCAGTAGGTAGTGCTGTTGCCTCACATTAAGAAGGTTGTTGGGTTGCTGGGTCGATCCTCGGCTTAGATGGCATTTCTGTGTGGGGTTTGCATGTTCTCCCTGCATTCGCGTGGGTTTCCTCCGGGTGCTCCGGTTTCCCCCACAGTCCAAAGACATGCGGTACAGGTAAACTGGGTAAGCTAAATTGTCCATAGTGTATGTGAGTGAATGTGTGTGGAAGTTTCCCACATATGGGTTGCGGCTGGAAGGGCATCCGCTACATAAAAATGTGCTGGATAAGTTGGCGGTTCGTTCCGCTGTGGCGACCCCGGATTAATAAAGAGACTAAGCCGACAAGAAAATGAATGAATGAAAAGTTATGTTGAATAAAAAATGTATGTATTACAATTATGACACTTTATTTAAAATATGTGGCTAAGAAATAGCTATTAACTTATTTTACTTTTTTTGGTGTTTCTATTTCTATAATAAATAAAAAAAGGTTAAAGAAGAGCGAAGAAACAGATATGATTGTTCCTTATTTGTTATTTAATTCAACTTATTTTTAAATTCAACAACTCTGCTAACTTAACAAACAGAGCATGTCTGTGACGAAGCTTGAACAATCAATGATAAATAACATAAATTATTTATATTTGGACTTTAGTGCAAAAGTAAAGGTATAAAAAGTCTACTATAAAATCAAATAGCACCTCAACTTAAGATACCAGGCAGGCAGTCCAAAGTTTAGTTTACATACTGTATCTTACAGTTTGCTATGGCAACGTCGACATCAACTTTATAATACCTCCAGACTACAGAAATACTCGCACTTTCTGCTTCAAGCTGCTTCCGTGTTCTACTTTGTCGGCATTTAACCAATAGCGTCTCTGCAACTGTCACACAACCAGCGATCGCTTCCCAGAGGATCGCTGGTTCTCACACGAACTCTCATGACTACATTTCCGCATTTCCCAGGACTACATTTTCATACATGCACTGCTCCCAAACACGCACGCCTGTCCATTCATCTATCCTGATTGCATCACCAGCTGGACCTTGTTCACAGACTGATTTCATCCCATTAATAAGCCACTCTCTCACGCTACCAGTTTGCCGAGTCTTGTTTTCCCAGTGTGACATTACGAAGCGTTTCTCCCTGTCTTGTTTATACGTGTTTAGACCCTAGCTTTGCATTCCTTGTTATCCTGTTCAGCCGCCTGCCTTTAGACCTATTGCCTGTTATATTGACGACGATTCTGGACTGCCTTTACATACCCGTTTGCACCTGATTTGACCATTGCTTGCCTGAAATTGAATAAACCTGCACGTGGATCCAAACTTCTGTTGTTGGTGTCACTCCCAGTCGTTACAGAAGACTCGGCCAGAACATGGATCCAGCGGGTATTCAAATCATGCGCCTCCGTCAGGATGCCCGGTCAATTGAGGAGTACGTGGAGAAATTCATTGAACTGTCACATCTGACATCTATGAGTGAGTTATGTTTAATGATTTTCTTTCGCGGAGGACTTGCTGAACCACTGTACTCCTACATGCCACTGCACAATCCCCACTGGACGCTAGCACAATTTATCGATATAGCCCTTCAAATGAGTGGATCTTCCTTCACCGTTGGCGAGGTGGAGGAAAATCCAAAATATCTTTTGGGGGGGGGGGGGGGGGCTGTAGAGAGCAAGACCCGCTAGCGACGGGGCTTGCGACCCATTGTCCACAGCCAGCTCACAAGATGGCCGCTCCCAGTCAGCCAGCTCACAAGATGGCTTCCAGTTCAAAGTCTGTTCCTGCTCCTGAAAGGCCATCTCCAGAGCTGCCATTCCCTCCAGTGCTGCCAGATCCTCCAGAGCTGCCAGACCGTCCAGTGCTGCCAGATCCTCCAGTGCTGCCAGACCCTCCAGTGCTGCCAGATCCTCCAGTGCTGCCAGACCCTCCAGTGCTGCCAGACCCTCCAGTGCTGCCAGACCCTCCAGTGCTGCCAGACCCTCCAGTACAGCCAGACCGTCCAGTGCTGCTAGATCCTCTAGAGCTGCCAGAGTCACTGCTACCGCCAGAGCTACCGACGCCGCAGCCAGCGCCTCAGCCAGAGCCGACGCCGCAGCCAGCGCTTCAGCCAGAGCCGACGCCGCAGCCAGCGCCTCAGCCAGAGCCGACGCCGCAGCCAGCGCCTCAGCCAGAACCGACACCGCAGCCAGTGCCAGAGCCGACGCCGCAGCCAGCGCCTCAGCCAGAGCGGACGCAGCAGCCAGCGCCAGAGCCGACGCCGCAGCCAGCGCCTCAGCCAGAGCCGCCGCTGCATGAGCTTGCCGAACGGCCGCCGCCGCTTGAGCTTCCAGAGTGGCCGCCGCCTGAGCTTCCCGAGTGGTCGCCGCCGCCGCCTGAGCTCCACGAGTGGCCGCCGCCACCTGAGCTTCCCGAGTGGTCGCCGCCGCCGCCTGAGCTTCACGAGTGGCCGCCGCCACCTGAGCTTCCCGAGTGGTCGCCGCCTGAGCTTCCCGAGTG